ACAGGAAAGGGTCTGAATACTTAGGACCATGTGATATTTCAGTTTTTCTTTTTTAATAAATCTGCAAAAATGTCAACAATTCTGTGTTTTTCTGTCAATATGGGGTGCTGTGTGTACATTAATGAGGAAAAAAATTAACTTAAATGATTTTAGCAAATGGCTGCAATATAACAAAGAGTGAAAAATTTAAGGGGGTCTGAATACTTTTTCCGTACCCACTGTATATATATATATAATTATACTATATGTGTATATTAAATACATTAAGTATTATATTTATTGTGTTAATGAGAAATTATGTATTAGGCCATGTTTTGTCCAAATTAGCAAAATCCTCAACAAGTAGAGAAAACTGTACTCATTTGTTGTAACCAAATCAAGTATGGATAGTCCTATTGAAAACTGACCTTACACATTTGATCAAAACTACTCTGATTATTAACTGTAAGAATTGTAAGTGATATCTTTGTTAATTTCCAAATGTAGTTCAAAGAGTGATATCTTTTCGACCATACATAACGTAATCTCTGTTCTGCTGAGAAAATTTAACTGTAAGAATTGTAAGTGATATCTTTGTTAATTTCCAAATGTAGTTCAAAGAGTGATATATTTTCGACCATGCATAATGTAATCTCTGTTCTGCTGAGAAAAGAGTGTTTATTTTGCATCTGTAGGAATAGTATAAACATAAAGTGAAGAGCTAGTGCTGTGGCTGCCATGTTTGAGTGTGAGCAGCCAATTCTGGGAGACAATGTAAATAATGAGAGAAGGAGTGTGTGTGTGGAGTCTGGAGATTCCCTCCAGCAGATGAGTTCTCTGTCTGAAGTGTTACTAATGCCTTTTAACCTTATAGTGTTTTTGTATTGCTTTTATGCTGAGTTACAAACTACATCCATTTGAAACTTTTCAGTTTTCAGTATGAATGAATCATTTGTGCACTATTGTTCCCCTCATGTTGGGCACTTCAGGTCTCTATTTTAGATTGATTGGTGTGTTTTGTGTGCTAGGTGGTGTTTGAGGTGGCGTTCAACAGTCCTCGTGGTGGCTATGTTGCTCTGGATGACATTTCTTTCTCCCCAGAGTTTTGCCACAAAGAGACAGGTCAGTGCAGTTCTGTTGTATAATAAGAACTAACACGCCTTATGCAACTGTGCATAATCCAAAATATCACAATGCAGCTGTTTACAGAGCTCGAAAACCACTAGCAAGTTTTATGGTTTAATTTCAACAGTCACTGTAACTTGGTGAACATGTGTTAATTCTTTTGTAGAGATGTCTTTTTATAATGGGATTCTGGAAGCACGCTGTATTCTGTACTTCTGTTTTTCTTGCTTGAGTCATTTTCGACCATGCTTATTTAGCTGTGAAGAACCGAAACTGTCTGTACTGTTCAATTAATTAGAGTACAATTGGGATAAAGCCTCCTCCTCTTATTTTCTCTTATAGCATCAAATGACAACAAAAACCACCACAGCACTATCGTCAACGTGTTTGTTTTTCTATAGATTGCAAAATCCTGATTTGAGGTAATTTGCAACAGAGTGGCAATTTGTATCTATTTTATGTTTTAGCAAATTTGTCACTAATTCATATTAATTTCTACAATCTAATTTCTACGTTTTTGTGCGATCTGTTTACAATCCATTGACACTAATGTTTAGGGGTGGACAAAAATATACTTTGGGACAAAAATAAGTCATTTTTCTATGAGGGGCCTTCAGCGTTATACCCAACAAACAAAAAAAGCCCATAAGAGCTGTTTAAAGGGGAATTTTCTTGTTGTTGTCCTGTTATGTAGCAACCACATCGACATTCCCTTTAGTCAGCAGTTAACATACATTTTACAGAAAGTCTGCCTATGTGGGAGATATTCATGATGTGAGTTAATTTCATGTGACTCATGTTTCAGAGCCAGCGTTTGATCCCTCTGTGGCAAACTGTGACTTTGAGGAGGGCCTGTGTCAGTATTATCAGGAACAGACCGGAGGTTCAGTGTGGAACAGGGTCTCTGTGAAACCAAATATTTACCGCATCAGTGATCACACTACAGGCACTGGTGCGAAGTGAGACTGTTCTTTTCATCAGTTCACCAAATTTGTGCAATCTGACACAAAATATATATTGTACAAGCTTAGTGAAGTAATGTTTTGATCATACTTTTAGACTCTATTTATAAAAACAGAGTCTAATTTATCTAAACATCGTAAATTTACATCACATAAATATATTATATTTTTATGTGCATTTAACTCATTAAAGTTCCAAATTATGGAGCTGCATTAATGAGTGAGATTCCTACTACTTCCTACCTAATGTATATTTAATTTTAATTGATCAGTATTCATAGTGAATAACTATGAAAGTAATAGCTCACCTAAAAATCAAGATATACTCATTTTATTCAAGATGTAGATCAGTTTTTTTCTTCCTCAGAACAGATTTGGAGAAATTTAGCACTACATCACTTGCTCACCAATGGATCCCCTGCTGTGAATGGGTGCCGTCAGAATAAGAGTCCAAACAGCAGATAAAAACATTTCACTGGAGGAAGCATTAACATGGATCATGGACTGGTTGGATTTTGACCAGAAGTGACGGTTTAAAGTTAAATCTCCTGAATGATTTGTTTATTACAAACACACAGCTTTTCACTTCACAAGACATTAGTTGATGGACTGGAGTCGTGTGGATTACTTGTGGATTATTGTGATGTTTTTTTCAGCTGTTTGGACTCTCATTCTGATGGCACCCATTCACTGCAGAGGATCCATTGGTGAGCAAGTGACGCAATGCTAAATTTCTCCAAATCTGTTTTGATGAAGAAACAAACTTATCTACATCTTTGATGGCATGAGGATGAGTACATTTTCAGCAACTTTTAATTTTTGGTTGAACTATTCCTTTGATATGATAAAAAGAGGAAAACTGAAGGAAAAATTTTTACAAATAAGATAACATTCATAAAACAATCATTTATTTCACTGATTATTTAAGATTTATAAATCTGTCACATCTGTGTCTTTACATTCACAGGGTCTTTTCTCCTGGCCAACACTCGTTATACCTCTCGTCCAGGGTATGTGGGTCGTCTTTTTGGACCGTCCCTACCAGGGAACCATAAATACTGCCTCAGGTTCTACTATGCCCTGCATGGCTTCATGAAAATAGATAATGCTCTGGCTCTCTATGTCTATGATGAAAAAAACATAGCTCAGGAGAAAATCTGGACTGTGTCTGAGAGGTCTAAAGATGTTTGGACAGAGGTGGAAGTCACTTACCTAAAGCCCATGCCTACTAAGGTAAGTGGAAAATGAATGGATTGTTGGCAAAATGTGTTTCTTCAAGACTGGGTTGTGTTCGTGAGAATGGCTCATTTTAAATTAATTCACTTTTCAGTGAAGTAAGACATGTCATAAATTTTTATGTACACCACTCTTTAAGAGTTTTGGGTTAGGAAGATAAAAAAAAAAATTGGTACTTTTATACATCAAGGATGCATTAAATTGATTAAACATGACAGTAAAGACTTTTATATTTACACACAATATTTCTATTTCAAATACAGGCTGTTCTTGTTCAAAGAATGTTGAAAAAAATATATCATGGTTTCCACAAAAATATTAAAGGTGCCATAGAATGGAAAACTGTATTTACCTTGGTATAGTTGAATAATAACAGTTCTGTACATGGAAATGACATACCGTGAGCCTCAAACACCATTGTTTCCTCCTTCTTATGTAAATCTCGTGCATGCAAAAGACCACTGAAAAATAGGTGAATCAGAACAAAACACAGACTGTGACGTTACAGTCGGGATCACTAATAGTTACGCCCCCAATAGTTGCATATACCCGCCCATGGTCTATGCCAGCTGCCAACCGAACATGCACAGCTGAATCATCAGAACTTCTGCAGGTATTGTGAAGAAATAAGTGAGGATAATAGCGAAAATGGCAGATCATGGAAATAAATGTTATGTCCCATAACAGGGGATGTGAAGTGCAGGGATTGGTTGGTGTCTGTATTCAGAAAGGCACGGAAAACAAATAACGAGCCACTAAAGGGACATGGTTTGCTGCTTGCTAGCGGTAGCCTGTTACATTATAGTACATAAGATTTCACTTACCACATAAACAGAGTAAGGAGAGATGACTGAGGATGATGGCGAATGATTTACAGATCCTGAGCACCACTGACAAGCATCTGATCTTGTAAAATGTGTGGTAAGTACTGCCGCTGTAGTTTACACAGATCACGTGCGATCGCAAATCTTGAAAGTGAAAGTAAAAAGCCATTGTGCATTTGAAAGCAGTTTCAATGCCCCACATATTAATAGCGGCTCCCTGATGCCCGCATTTTATATACAGTATAATTACCCAACGATATACCTGCGAGAGACAGTATTGAAATATATATTGAAATATATATTTTCCCTGTGTTTCCTTCCTGCTGTGTGAGCTACTGAAATGAGCCGCACTGTGAAACAACCAATCAGAGCGGAGCTCAACATTGTTATTCATGACCCTTCCAAATAAGGTAAAAACAGACCATTTCATTCTAGGGACAAATCCTAGAGTTGCAAATGGACATGTAAAACTGTTTCTGGAGATTTTTTTGCCCTTAACTAAGCCACATACCTTCTATGTAGATATCAGAGAACAATTTAAAATATTGTATCAATGCATTCTATGGCACCTTTAAGCAGCAGAACTGTTTTAACATTCATAATAATAAGAAATGTTTGTTGAGCAGCAAATCACACCCATGGACTGTCTGTGTGTGTTTTGTTCCCCATGTGCTCTCCGTAACCCAGTTTCTGTCTCCCATGTGTGATTGTATGATTTGGTTCAGGTGTGTCTCGTCTACTACCCCTCGTTTAGCCCTGTATTTAAAGTGTTGTCTGTCCCGTGTTTCCTTTGTCCAGTGTTAAGGTCGATGCTACTTGTGTGTTCCTGCCTGCCCTGTGTGTTACTCCCTTTTTGGATCATTAAAGACTGTTATTCGTGACTCTCCTTCGTCTACGCGCTCCTTCGCTCCTACATAGTCACCGTGACAGAACACCGGACCGACAAAGAAGTTTATTTGCGTGTTTCCCCTCCATTTGTTTTCCACGTTTTGTTCAGTGTTTTGTTTTCTGTTGTTTCCTATGGATCCCTTAGACGCCTTCCTCTGTCCTGAATACATCCTGCTCCTGCTGGAGCAGGGGGAGAGATCTCTCGAGGGCCACACCACACTGTTCCTGGATATCGCTCATCACACCAGCTACCCGGACGACCCGTTCTGCACATTCTACGATGCCAGCTTAAACACAGCGTGCAGAGTGCCGTCGTCCGAAGATGGCCCTCGGGAGAATTTCGCCTCCTTTGTGGAGTGGATACTGGCGAGAAACGGATCTCCGTTCACCATCTGCACTGAAGATGATCTCGCCAGTTCCACTCCGGATTCAGAGCCCAGCCCACCATCACCCCGCTGCGTGGAGCCAAAGCCTGAGCCCACCACAGACGGAGAGCCAAAGCCCGCCGTGACCGACGAGCCATTGCTGAAAAGAGCGACAGAGCTGAGGATCGCCCCACAGCCAGAGCCTCACGTGATGTTTGACCAGGTGTGAGTGCCGGCAACGAAGCCCGCCACAGAGGATTCCACAGTGAAGCGCGAAAGCACTGAAGAAAGCCCCGCCCACTGCACCACCGCTGGAGGTGAGCTGCTACTGGATTTAATAGACTGGGAGGCAGATATATATGCAGACATGCCTATTTTCCTCCCACCTTCCTCGAACTTTCCAGTCTGCCCGGAACTGTCTGCCAGCCCTGTCGTTCCCCTGTCTGACGGGCTCCCGGTGTTGGGAGTCGCGAGTTGGTGTGTGTGGGCAGCGCACACCAGTCCTGAGGCTCACAAATACCCACTCACCCTCCCGCTCCTGCCTCCTCCACCACTGTCGTCTGGCGGCCCCTCTGCTCACCCTCAGCCCACCATCTGTGCGGTGGGATCACTGCGGGTCTGCCAGTCTCCATCGGCATCATGACTGGCCATTTGATAATACCTAGAATATCAAAATCAACTGCGGGCGGCAGATCCTTTTCCTATTTAGTGCCCAAACTTTGGAATAACCTACCTAACATTGTTCGGGAGGCAGACACACTCTTGCAGTTTAAATCTAGATTAAAGACCCATCTCTTTAACCTGGCTTACACATAACACACTAATACGCTTCTAATATTCAAATCCGTTAAAGGATTTTTAGGCTGCATTAATTAGGTCAACCGGAACCGGGAACACTTCTCATAACACCCAATGTACTTGCTACATCATTAGAAGAATGGCATCTACGCTAATATTAGTCCGTTTCTCTCTTATTCCGAGGTCACCGTAGCCACCAGATCCAGTCTGTATCCAGATCAGATGGTCACTGCAGTCACCCGGATCCAGTACGTATTCAGACCAGATGGTGGCTCAGCACCTAGAAAGGACCTCTACAGCCCTGAAAGACAGTGAAGACCAGGACAACTAGATGAGCCCCAGATACAGATCCCCTGTACAGTCCTTGTCTCAGACGACCACCGGGACAAGACCACAGGAACCAGATGAGTCCTCTGCACAATGTGACTTTGCTGCAGCCTGAAATTGAACTGCTGGTTTTGTCTGGCCAGAGGAGAACTGGCCCCCTGACTGCTTAGTTGGGGACACTTCATTTCTAGCGATATCGTTGACTTGATTGCATAGAGACTATTTAAACTGAACTGAGCTGGATGATGACATCACTGAATTCAATGATGAACTGCCTTTAACTGAAAAATTTGTGTTTACTATTGTCATTTTGCATTATTGACACACTATTTTCCTAATTAATGCTGTTCAGTTGCTTTGACACAATCTGTATTGTTAAAAGCGCTATATAAATAAAGGTGACTTGAATTGACTGGAGGACCCCAGCCTCTGCCATGGGCCGTCGACCCAGCGGCTCCACCATGGCTCCTAGCTCCCTCCTCTCCGCCGTGGCCCATCAGTCCACCAGCTCCGCCGGGCTCCCTCGTCCCTCCAGCTCCACCTTGGTCAGTCGTTGACCATCCGCCACTGCAGCCTTCCAGATCCACGCCGAATCCACTTCCGGATCCATCCTTTCCTCCACCATGGCTCCTCCCTCCGTCTGCTCCACCGTGGGTCGCCTTCATGGCTGTGGCCTGGGTCCTGCCTGGCTCCGCCTGCTCCAAGTCCCTCCTGTCTCCTCCCTGGCTCCTCCTTCCGTCTGGTCTGCCCTGGCTCCTCCCTCTGTCGTCAACACCCTGGACTCTGTCTGCCGGCCCTCTCCTGGTTGTCCGTCCTCAGCCCGACCCTCCATTAGGATTGTCTGCCTACCTTCCTGCCAGCCCTTTGCCGTCCCCTGTTTCCATCCCCCTCCCTCCCACCCTTTGTAGTTTCTGTGGTGCGAGGTCGCACCTTCCGGGAAGGGGGTGAACTGTCACACCCCTGGACTGTCTGTGTGTGTTTTGTTCCCCATGTGCTCTCCGTGACACAGTTTCTGTCTCCCATGTGTGATTGTATGATTTGGTTCAGGTGTCTCGTCTACTACCCCTCGTTTAGCCCTTTATTTAAAGTGTTGTCTGTCCCGTGTTTACTTTGTCCGTTAAAAAAAAACATTTTAAAATATATCCAAATAGAAAACAGTTATTTAATTTGTAAATATAATTTCAAAATATCACGGTTTTACTGTATTTTTGATCAAATACAGAAACTTGGTGAGGATATGACTTCTTTCAAAATTACGAAAAATCCTACTGACTCCAAACTTTTTAACGGTACTGTAAATTGAACAACATAAAGGTTTACAATAAGTGTTCTTCAGATTATAGGTTAGAAAATGACATTGTCTTGAATGATAAGCACAAATTCAGTTTTTAATTTTTTTTGGTATTTTCTTGTCACTTTTCAAAATGACAAGCCATAACAAATCTTTTATTGAACTTTGGGTCACCCCGTGTGTGAAATCCTGTTGTAATCTCAGGGATTCTGATAAGTGAAGAGCAAGACTGTGTAGAAGAGCAAAAATGGAGTGTCTGTCTACAGGCAAACCACATCAAATCCTCATTAATAGTGTTTCCATTTGTCTAATATTTTGTGCCTCCTCAAAATGTCAAAGCCATTTAAGAGAAAAACCACAAAGAAATCAAAGAGTTTTAAACTGAGGTCTGTAAATTACATGAGTTATTTGTAATGTCTCTTATAAAATAGTAATTCTTTTGAAGTAACTTTGAATTAATGTTTAATAGACCCTTTTTTTGTTTTGTTTTTGAGTAAAATTATGTGCTGTATTACAAGAGTTAGGACTAGTTTAGGACTACTAGACACTGATCTCCCTGTTTTAACTATTTGTCATTATGAACTTTTTTATCTTAAAGGGGTCCTATTATGCTCTTTTACAAAGTCTTGATTTTGTTTTGGGGGTGTACTAGAACATGCTCTCATGCTTGGTGGTTTGAAAAACGCATTATTTTTCAAATTTTTCACAATTTACATTATTAAAATACCTTTCTCCCCATCCTGGCACAAACGGCTAGATTAGTTCAGGCTTTGATGAAGGTCTGCCTTCTGAAAAACAAAATGTGTTGTGATTGGTTAGCTGTCTCAGTGCGTTGTGATTGGCAAACAGCTTAGACGGTGTTTCAGTACTGCCACGCCCCTTGCTCTGTCTTTCAACAAAAGCTTTTAGGCAAATCCGGCAGGCACTGTACTCTCTCATGTTGTGGAAGCTGTCCTCAGTAAAATGCACAGCACACAATAGCAAATTGGGGTTATAATGCTCAGGGACAGAGTTAAAAAATAAATTGCAACCACTGCTTCCTGATGTCATCTGCTTTCGGAAGCCCAAACAAAGACCACGGAGGTGAAAAAAACAGCGTTTCAGGCAGTCGCTCACAGGACGAAGCGCAGCGTTAAAATTCAAATACATAATTTTCTATGAGTGTAGGCACACCGGCTGCGCCGTTCAGCGTCTGTCCGCAGCGCCCAGCAACATCTTGTTGTACTTGTAAGAATGGTTTTAGACATGCCGAAAATTTGAAGCTACTTCGTTTTCTCTGATGCACTAACTCTGCAGCAGCAATTCTTCTTCGTCGTCTCATCTGATGCACTCACGCAACCAAGCGTTCTAACCACAACCTCGCCCCTCCCCACCCCCCAACCATTTGAATTTCTGTAGGTGGGAATTATTTTGAATGATATTCTAATGGGCCGCTTTGTGATATCAAAAAGCCCGGAAAACAAACGCTGTAGTCCAAACGAGCCGTTCGTTGTAGTTCTTGAAAAGGGATTTTTTAAAAACGAAAC